CTATATGAAAATTAAGACTTTTAGGGACTATTTTAAACATCATGCATTCACCACATACAAACGATAACTATGAAGAAATAGTTAGGTCTGTTTGGTTCGAAAGGCCCTGTTCTCACTGACGTGACCAACCGGCAGCTCTTTAGTGTGGGATCCACTCCTTAAAGCAGAAAGTTGTCTACAACTCCTTTGGAGAGTTTTCGCCAACGTCTAAGAAAAACCACTGATTATGACTCCAAAAAAATCACTATAGAATAACTGGCATTTCTGTTGTTTTTAATACATATTTCACTTTACTCTCCTGCCAAATCTTTGTTTGGAAGACTAGCTTGCATATTTTACTTTTGAGCAGGGTTTCATATTTTTATCATCTTCACTTTTTTCTTTCAAATACTCTTCCTACATAGGATGAAACAATGTGCCCTAATGGTCTCACCTACGACTAGCCCACAGCACATACAAAACCATTACTCTGATTTCTTGGTCATTCTTTTCAAAGTAATGTACAAGTAAGTTACTTCCTATCAGTGTTTGTGATATTAGATCCATCAGGTACTAGTCACAACAACTTCTCACGTGCTCCAGACTACTCCCTATCACACACTAAGTACCTCTGCAAACAGGTTGTTCATGTATGTACGATTTCATACCCCTCACAAAACTAACACATTCACATACTTTCAAAACACACTCAATACACCTGATTACACTCAAATAAATACATTTAAAAAACTAATAAATTCAAGTAGATATCATCCTTCTTGGAAATCTTCCCAAACCCCCAAAGTTTATGAAGTACCCTGACTAGCATCTTCCTGAGGGCCTTGCACGCAGGGAGGTCACAGAACAGGTACTTCAAAGTATTTATCATGCTGCATAATAATTGCTTGTTTTCTATTCTGGCTCCCTTGTTAGATGAAATTCTATCAGACAGGCACTATGCCTTATCTATATAAATAAAACCCTAATATGCAAATAGACCGAATGGCAGAACAACCAAACAACCGAACAACCAGTCACTATGATGTGCACTGACCACAAGGGGTGCGCACAGAACATGGAAGGCTTTGGCAGCAGGAGGCAGAGCATGGAACATGGCAGGCATCAGCCATGGCGGGATGGTGGAGCAGGTGAGCAGGCGCACCAGACCAAAGCAGAGCACCAGTCGCTGTCATCGGGGCAAGCTCTGGTGGTTACTGAAAATTCTTTGCTCTCATGCGCTGTGGTCCCACCGGGCACTTGCACCCACTGCCAGCGCCCGACACCTGTCCTGATCACTCGGTGCCATCAGCAGGTGCAAGCAGCAGCTGCTGGCCCCAATCGCCCCTCAGGGCTTCTCCACCTCCCCTGCTCCTGAGGGGAGATCAGGGCAGCAGCTGCTTCTCACATCCGCTGCTGGCAACGGCCCTGCTTGCACCTGCTGCCGGCGCCAGAACCACCCCTTGCACCCACTGCCGGCGCTAGCCCCGCTTGTACCTGCAGCTGGCACCAGAACTGCCGCTCGAACCCGCTGCAGTGCCGGTCCCGATCACTTGGCACCATCAGCAGGTGCGAGCAGCGGTGCTGGCTCCAATCACCCCTGAGGGCTTCTCCACCACCCCTGCTCCTGAGGGCTCCATGACATCAGCGGGTGCGAGCAGGGCCGGCGCCGCCAACACATGGGAGGGGTAGTGGCAGGAGTGGGGCTGCAGGCAGACAAGGGACGGGGGCTGTGGCAAAAGGGGCCAGGCGGGGGCATGGAGGATGGGTTGAGACCTGCCCCTGTGCCCACCACAGCCTCACGGCCCACAGTTCCTTTCAAGGTGCATGAATTCATGCCCTGGGCCCCTAGTCCTATATAATAAAACCCTAATATGCAAATTGACTGGTCGCTATGACATGTACTGACCACCAGGGGGCAGATGCTCAACACAGGAGCTGCCTCCTGGTGGTCAGTGTGCTCCCACTGGGGGAGCACCGCTCAACCAGAAGCAGGGCTCATGGCTGGCGAGCGCAGCGGTGGTGGCGGTAAGGAGCAAGGGGTCCCAGAATGCAAGAGCCCCAGACTGAGAGAGGGATGTCTGACTGCCGGCTTAGGCCCGATCCCCTGCAAATGGACATCCCCCGAGGGGTCCTGGACTGCGAGAGGGTGCAGGCCAGGCTGAGGGACCCCCCCTTCCCTTCCCCCTCTGCCCTCCCAGTGCACGAATTTTGTGCACTGGGCTTCCAGTCCACTATAATCTATCTGGTCCTTGAAAGTACATGGAATATGACAGGCACTCAGATATTTGCTAAATAAACGACTATCAAATTTATGTTATACCTAATCATAGCCACCTTAAAGGTCATTCATTTTTTTTCTAATAATTTCTGCCATTTTAAGAGAAATTTTAACTCATTTTGAAACCATTTTATGATGAAGTTACTCAACAAAAAGTAGTCTTTGCCCTGTGTCCTACTATCTTTTCAGCCCCAAATAAAAAATCAAAATAACCACTTCATTCACAAAGTTCAGCATTTAATCATTTCTGACTATTACCAAGAATAAATGTATGCCAATGCAATCTTCTCCACTATTAAGGGTGTTACTTAAGATCAAAGAAACCTTTCCAAAATAGAGGAATTTCTAAATTTCTAAAATGTTTGGCACGATATCAGCACAGCCATAATAAGGATGCGGTCCTTCTCATTACTGTTGAAAGGACCCCTCACTGACACTCTCATTGCATCACTGATATTTTCAGCTTCCTACATAAGAGACAGGGCTTATTACGATATTTGAATACATAGATGGTATCCACAGCAAGAACATTTTTATATTTTTTTATCTTCAATACAATAGTAATATGATAGTGGTAAAAATCTAGAAAACATAAAATTATAAAGAATAAAATATAAACCAGTATGAATGGACAATCCATATAGTATTGGTATATAAACACATCTGTGCTTTCAAAATGAAAACGAGTACTATACACTTGCACATATGCTAATACACCTACTTACAAGCCTAGAAAATTAACAAGACTTAAACAATTATAGGCAGGATAATGCAAAATGAAGGGGGTAAAATGATGGTTATATAAACCTATTCCTAAGTTCAACTGAAGGACAATTTGGCAATACCTATTCAAAAGCTTTTAAAAATTAATATGCCTTTTTATACAGCAATTCCACATTTAAGAATTTATCCTAAAAAATCATTTCAGATGTACAAACATACTTACTATACTAATTTTCACCCCCACTCTTGATAAGAGAAAAAATGTTTAATAAAGCAACATTCTAAATTTTCTGATAAATTTCAATAAACTACAGAATAACATTTAAAATGATATTAGAATATACTTAGTGACATAGAAAATATCAGTATCTTACATATATTAAACAATGTATTATTTAATTTAAAACAAATAAAAATTAATTTCAAAAAGTACTGACTGCATCAAAATATCTGATGTCAAAATCTAAGAGAAGCAAGTGTTACGGGGAAATGAGAATGTTACAGAACATTGTGTCTACTGTGCTATATTGCAGAAAATTAATGATAGGTCTATTTCTTGCATTTGCTTAATTTACATTCCAAAGTGTACCCTGCTTGGCTTTAGAGACTATGGTATAATGATAGACATTGCTTTTTAAATGTAATATTCAAGTTAAAATAATAACAAAAGTCCAAATTCAAAAGTAAGATAAGAGCTAATTCAGGCAAAAGCTTTAGGTACATTTTCAGACTGTAAAATACAGTACATTATAAGAAAAACCTCATTTGTTAATTGCTCTTACCAGCTGTGAACGTCAGCCGCATTGCACACATATAGTCACATATACCATTCATATTATATCTCTGTCTGTAAGAGCTAAGGATCTAATACTTCAAATGAAGGCACAAACTCCAATATTCGGGTTGGATACCTGGCACTCCTGTTTCACAAGCCTATGCTGCCCTCTTCTGGAGACTTTGGGAAATTATGTGACCTTAAAAGTTTAACAAGATGTAAATGAAAAATAATCACTTTTTCAAACTAATCTATTAAGGAACTTAACCTATATGCTTACACAAGAGAAACATATATGTTATCTGTACTAAGTAACTCATTTTGAAACATTTTCCAAAAATTGTTCTGAATAAAGTTCTAGCAGCAGCAAAAAGCTCTGATAGTTCGGTCATCCATGCCAATGAGAGAAGAAAATAAATATTAAATAGTTATTAAAAGTAAATAAAAGAGCCCGGCCGCATGACTCAGTGGTTGATCATCAGCCTATATACCTGGTGGTCACAATTCGACTGCTGGTCAGGGCACATGCCGGGGTTGCGGGCTCGATCCCCACTGGGGGGTGTGCAGGAGACAGCCGATCAATGACTGGCTCTCACCATTGATGTTTCTATCTCTCTCTCCCTCTCCTTTCTTCTCTGAAATCAATAATAATTTTTTTTAAGTAAATAAAAAATGGCACTTAAAGAAGTTGCATTTTTTTTGTTCTGGAAACTCATTCTTCTCACTCCCAAAAGCAAAGTGGAATCTGATTTCGGTCCTTATCTTTCCAGTTCAATTTTAATGCTCTCACTACCTGAACATGTATCCAGAAATAAACAGAATGGATTTGTCTGTTTTTAAAATGTAAATAATAGTATCATACTGCATCACACACAAATGTTCCGTGTCACAGGCCATACTTCTACATGCAGCCACCTGTGGCGCAAACTGACTGAGGAACTGTGGAGAGCTCCGCGTAAAGGTATCAATACAACTCTACAGTGAAGAACGACACCATCGGGTCACTAGGGTTATTGTTTTACTTTCTGAAAACTATGTGCATCTTCTATTTCTATGTACCCAATAGTAAATAATCATAACTTTGCCGAAACCTTCCATGTTACCATCATTTAGTTTTAAAATGAAAAGGGTTTTAATTCTCTTGTCACATGGTCTTTAAATGACTCTAGGCTCCACTCATAGTAAGCCTGATAGCCACATGACTCAGCTCTACCACAGTAAAGCAATCATTTTTGACCAACTTACACTACAGTTTTCAGGTGGGACCAGGAGTTGAGTAATCTCGCCACCATGCACACAGAAGATATGTTTCATTTCTCCAGAAAATATGTCCCAAATTATCACCGAAAAATCCACACCTCCAGATACCAGATATCTTTGATCATAACGAGTTGAGACCTGATGAGGATATAGCAAACATGTGACTTTGTTCCGATGACCACGGAGTGTTCTGTGAGGTGGCCAACCTGTGAATGAGGGTTTGGATTTAAAATGGGAAAATAAAAGTCTTACAAAGTTCCAACAAATAAAAGTAAACATGAATTGTCAAAACAGCTATAAATTTTATCAAAGAAAAGGCTTCTGGTTTTATCTCCTAAAACTGCTCTGTCCAATACAGTAGTTACTAGCCACAGGAGACCATTGAGGACGTGAAATGTGGCTAGTCCAGACTCACGTGTGCTGTCAATGTAAAATACACATGAGATTTCAAAGACTTAGGACAACAAATAATAATGTTAAGTATCTCACTGAAGTAAAAATAGTTTTGCTCTATTGAATTAAATAAAATATATAATTAAAATTAACTTTACCTGCTTCATTTTCACATTTTTAATGTGGATATTAGAAAATTACATACATTGTTACATATATATATTTCCACTGGACAGTACTGTTCTAAAAGATTATCAGTATTAATAACAATAAAGTTCATTATTTAGTAAACCATAGAGGTTAACTATTAATAAATGGAACTCTTAATATACCTCAAAGAGATAAAATTGGATACTTCTTTATTCACAGTCATTAGGTGGTATTAATCCCAAGAATAGGCACTGAGTATTTTATTATCTGCACATTAAACTCTATCAGCCACATAGCACACTAACAACTACACTGATTCATTGTACATGTTAAAAACAAAGCCTGCCGACATTGTCGCTATCACGGTACAGAGCTCTCTGGACGCTTTAGACATTGGAAGGTCGTCAGTATACCTCTTCGGAGCATGTGTTCCCCTTGCAGCAGCTGTACTATGGCTGTCTGCGTGGCAGGTACAATAATGATGCTCCCATCTTCGCGGCCACAAACAAGTCGTCCATGTACTGGTATGTACACACTTGCGGTTACTTTAAGAGGTTCATCACTATTGGGGATCACACTCAGCTGATCTATAATCCCAGCTGGATAAGGATTGAGCTTATCAAATGCTTCTTGCAAACTAACAGAAGTTGTGATTTCGAGCCCTGTGGAAGTTTGGTTTTGTATAAAAGAAAAACATTGAGCATGTTAGAAAAAAATTTTTAAATATTAAAATAAGCATGCTTATAGTTGATTTCGTAATATACCAAAGAATAACTGTAATCAAACATGATTCTAAGAAGAAAATGAAATATGACATAATGAATTTGTTGTTCAGTGGTTAGTATTTAGGCTGTGAAATTAAGAAATTGCTGTACCTGATTTACTATTCGCTTCTTCACCTTCCTGCTTCTCAGGTGTGTCTGGGATTTTCCAAATATTCAATCTTCCAGAAGAGTCCCCCTGAATTAATAGTTTATGGAAGTATTCCCTGGCTCCATAGAAGAACCGAGTAACAGGAGGACAAATGAGCAACTGGAAAAAAATTGTTCAAATATCTTTAGCTTTTTAATCAAAATATTTCACACATTAACATTTTTTTCAGATAAGGATGTTAAGTACTTTGCCTCAGTACCAGAGTAAGAAAAAGTGTTCATCACACCCAACAATATTTTAATGTAATTTTGTAGCATTGATGTACATGTCAATTAACATTCAAATCCATCATAACACAAAGAAATAAAAATTATATAGCCTCTCTATAGAATTGTATTTTTATATTTTTCTGTTTTACAAAAACTGATTAGTCACCACAACAATACAACTTACTTAACTGTCTGTTATTACATAGTTAATATAAAACATGATATTCTTTACCAGAATGAAAAGTCTCCACTCAAAGGTCAAAAGGGAGAACTGGCTAATCCTAACCTTTTGCCCATTCCTGATTAGTCACTAGTAAGAGCAGCAAAATTAAACTACCAAGCTGTGCAACTGGAGGACTCCATATTTTAAAAAATGAGTATATTCTTCAGCCAACAATATAACATTTCATTTGATCACATTTACATAATCAATTCGAACACAGCCTGATATGTTAGCTATAAACTACTAGGAACAAAATATATTTATTAGGGTCTTGTATATACTTTCATTTTAAAACAAATTATTTTTCTGCTTAAGATCCTGTGTCTTCAGTGAGATCACTTATTTGAAAAATTTAAACCGCGGTAGAATCCTAAAATTAAAGTTTGGAGTATTCATTCACAGATACTTGAATGTTAAAACATAGAACATTATCATAAAAAACAGTAATAAACAGACTTCAGTCTTGGCAATTATAGTCAAATAATCTAATTACTGTATTTGGTATTAACTATTTTCCTAGAAAGCACTAGCCTACAGAAATATATATATTAAGCATAATCAATTCTGAAAATTACTAAAAGTTTTCATCGATAAAATGCTGAACAAGGAGAAGTTGCTACAGCAGCTGTAATAACCAATATTCTATATTTCACCACATGGGTATCTAACACCAAATAATAATACATTTTGATTTAAAATGTACTGGGGAGTTGATATTTTTTTAAAAATGGAATGTGTTTATTTTGTTTTGTTTTGTGTACATTTTTTTAAATCATTATCCCTTCATTTTACTGGAAGTGATGGTCTCTACGTTAAAGAGCAGTAAGTAGAAGTGTAAGTTAAGAGAAAAGGATAGGTTATAGAAGATCTTAGATATACATACACACATAAATTCTACATATTCAAAATAGTCATGGTAAATAATGATTCCCTTTCCCTCATCATCTCTCCACATAAAGATGGAACAAAATTCTCAGAATGAAAAAAACTGTGGGAACCTAGAAATAAAGGAAACTTTATTTCCAAAAGCAAAGCTTCTTCCTTACTAGTGAAAACCCAGTAAGAATTGGAAACCTATTACTTAGTACTGTTGTAAATTTTAAGAAATCATAATGAACTTTTTTTATAGAGAAAATTTTCTTTTATTATTCATTTCTAAAGCCTAATGATTTAAATCACTCCATGGTTTTTGGGAGATACTGCAATGCCTTGTTCAAATAATGAACTGTTATTAATGAGCATTATTACATGATGATCTTGCCCTTCTAAAAGGGCATTCCATCTGTCACTGTGTTGATAGCTGCATAATAGCATAAAATAAGTTTGCACCATCAACATGAACTTTATCAAAAAGTCATTTCCAGTATGTAATCAGCATTAAGTCATTTGTATTCTCAGAGAACGGTGAATGCTATATTATAGTCCACTATGTATAAGATATGCAAATATTAAAATCGTGCTTACAATTGACCATGTAAAGTATTTCACAGTGTCTAACATAGTGCCTTGAATTATATTGAACCTTTCAAATGATTTGCTACCAAAATACACCAAAATATATAGTTATGAAAAGTTTTCAACATAACTATCAATTATAAATGATATCTGAAATTTTTTACCTCTTTATCTGTTCGATCCAAGAGGCTATGTTGTACAGGAGGGATTAAATTTTCAACTGCTTTCCCCACATCGCTGCGGAATGAATCACTAGCTGGAAGGCAACTGAAGATGAGAAAAATACATCATTCAATTAAAATACTGACATTAAGCATTTTGTCAGGTCATATGATGGTTTTGACATGAATGAAAAATGAGTTTTTAAATTATAGTTAAATTAACTTAGCATTAAATAATGAACATCATTAAAATATCCTATTTCAAATAAAATACCCCTATATTGTACTTAGAAGTTAAACTGGAATTACTTATTTAACTTAAGAAGTTCTAGGTGACTTCTTTAACCCATTTAAAATTTTCCCCCCATATTAAATATCTATACTATATGCATTTTCATACATCCAGGTTATACCCCAAATTCAGAATCTTTTGCTTTTGATTAAAGTCCTCTGTTATCATTTATTGAATACCTGGCAGGTAGTTTGTAAATATAACTTTGCCCATTTTCAGTCCAAACGATTACTTTATCTGCTGATACAAAGTCACCTCCAGTCCATGCCTGTCCATTTTCACTGGGGCCTGAACACAACAGGGAGTAGTCTCCAGCATCAAATACCTACAAGGAAGAAGAAATTTGCAATCTAGTCTGTGCTGTAAATTGCCTGGTGGTAATAGAGCTGTTGGAGGCAGACTACCTGAGCTGTAATCCAACAATTCCACTGCCACTTTAGAGCCTTAGTCAAGCTATTTATCACCCCCTATGCCTCAGATGCCTTATCTACAAAACGTGGAAAGTAACAATTCCTACTGCGGTAGGCAGCCTCTGGGACTGCTGCCCTGATCCCCGACTCCTGGCATTGAGATCCTTGTGTAAACCTCTCCCGAGTGTGGGCTCGATTTTGTGACTGCTTCTAGACAGTTGAATGCGGCAGATGGGATGGGATCTCAGTTCCAAGGTTAGATGGGTCTTGGCTACGCATTCTCTTGTGTGCTCACTCGGAAGGGAGACAGCACCCATGCTGTGACCTCTCCTTGGAGAGGCCCACATGACACGGAAGAAAAGTGTCCAGCCAATTGTCAGGAGGATCTGAGGCCTGCCCACCGCCATGTGAGTAATCTTTGAAGCAAACCCACTCAATGTGAGCCTTATGATGAGACAGTAGTCCTTGCTAACACTTGATTGTAGCGGGTGAGAAACCCTGAGCAGGTAGCCAGCTAAGCGGTGCCCGGATTCCTGACCGACAGGTGGCGTGGTGATACATGCTTTAGATGGGTGATGATACGTGTCTGTGGTTTAGTTTGGAGTGATTTTTGTTATGCAGGATTAGATAACTAATACATCTCCCCTCTGAGTTGTGAGGATTATAAGAAGTAATATAGGGAAATCTTTGGTACAAGCAATCAAAGCATGCTGACACCTTTTGTATTATGAAAATACTAAAGTCAGCCCGGCCAGTGTGGTTCAGTAGTTGAACATCGACCTATGAACCAGGAGGTCACAGTCTGATTCCCAGTCACGACACATGCCTGGGTTACAGGCTCCATCTCCATTAGGGCACGTGCAGGAGGCACCTGATCAATGATTCTGTCTCATCACTGATGTTTCTATCTCTCTCTCCCTCTCCCTTCCTCTCTGAAATCAATAAAAATACATTTTTAAAAAAGGGGAAATGTTCAAGTTTAGCAATGTGGAAGCAATATACTCCTTCAGCAGCTCTGAAGTGATGAAGAAAGACCTTCCTGACTCCAAGAAGTTAGGACAGAATGGCAACTGGGAATAATAACAACCTGCAGATATGTCAAACGCAGAAAGCTCGCTGCCACTGCCTATGTTATACTGACAAAGATAATGACTAAAACAGCAGCAAAAGTAGAAATTAAAATCAATAGAATAATAACCATTAACTGAATCATTCTATAAACAAACATACAAAAAAGACAACTATCCCAACACCTCAAAATATAATATCAAAATCTCACATGAATACCAAATGGTTAACCTATTCTTGCACCAAACTTTTCCTGACATTTCTCTTTGGGAGTCTGATAAACCAACAGGGTAAAAATGCAACTTCTTACTTATGCAATGATCTTACCCGCCAGTATTTGGAGCACACAACCAAAAGTGACCTCTGTGTGAATGCACAAAAGGAGATGCTCTGGCAATTCTGACAATAAATTGGTTTGGATTCCTCCTCAAATACTGGCTCAGTATCCTGAAAACAGAAAGATTTGCAAAATTTTAGGAATGGCTTGGTTGTCAATTAAAATTATCAAACAATGATAAAGAAAACAAATGAACTAAAGACATCACGTGACGGTCATGATTTTAACCCCTCGTGTGAGAACCACAGCAGTAAAAAGCAACACAAATGCATTACAAAAACATCTGGGCGTGACATCTCTGCTACAAAGGTACCCAAGATTAAAATACTGATGAGAATCAGAATACTATCACAATAACAGATGATAAAAGTTTTGAGTAAACCCTAATTTTTGTAGCTATATGTGCTTTTTAAGTAAAAAAACAAACAAACAAAAAAAACTGATCAATTCCTCCAGTTTCCCACAGATTCAATGTCTAAAAATTCCCTAGCTGAAGAGACTATTATCAATTATTGTCAGAAAATTAATCTCCTTTCTGATAAGAAATATAACAAGGAAATCAAGCCCAAAGAACAGAGAGGGGACTAAAATTGGGGGGGACTTTATATATTTTTGTAATGGTTTGCTTTATTTTTTTTCCCTAGAGCAAACTACCTTTTAACTTTTAACTTAAATAGAAGCAATTGAGGAAAGTCCTACCGCTTCTACACATTTCTCTACATCCTATCCTGTGCAATATGTTTCTCTAATTCTATTCTTGATATGGCAAATGTGTACCATGAAAAGTGAAAAACTTAATTCACTTGCAGAGACCGCATTGTAGGGGATCTTCTATACCATGTCAATAAGACTATTAAAAAAGATTAGCTTTCCCTGCCCCTTTAAGAAAAGAAGGCACATATCATTACTAAAATTTAAGACTCTATGAGAAGAAAAACAGAGAAATTAATCCAGTCTCATTTGTCTCACCTGCATGCCACTTATTTCAGAGGTAACAATCCACACCTTCAAGATGCCCGTCACCGAGAGTGCTACCACCGTGTCCTCTAAGCCAAGAAGGAACAAAAAGTCAAGGTTACAATACAATACACTATCTCTCTCTCACATCGATGCTTTTCTCCCTCTCTCCCTCCCTTCCACTCTCTCTAAAATCAATGGAAAAATATCCTCGGGTGAGGATTAACAAAATACACTGTTTCTAAACAGTAACACGGTCACAATAGTAATATGGAACAGGGTTTGCTTTAATTAAGTAACAATATGTTTTACAATTGGCATAAAAACATAATTCTATATTTCATAAAATAACAGAAATCAGATTTTGAAGCATAATAGAGATGACCAAAAATTTGGAATTCAAGGAAGAATTTTTTCTAGCTACTTGAAATAATTTTTTACTAGAGGCCTGGTGCATGAATTCATGCATGGGTGGGGTCCCTCGGCCTGGCCAGTGATCGGGGCCAATCGGGATTGGCAGGGGGGAGGGGCTGCGGGAGGTTGGCTGGCCATAGGAGGTTGGCTGTGGGAGTGCACTGACCACCAAGGGGCAAATCCTGCATTGAGCGTCTTCTCCCTGGTGGTCAATGCGTGTCATAGCAACCAGTCGACAGTCATTTGGTCATTCAGTTGCTTAGGCTTTTATATAGAGAGATTTGTAATCAAGATTTTAATAATTTCAAATGTTCTTGATCACTATGTTAACAAAGAACTTTTATCTTCAAAATTCATAATTTTTATTTATCATGAATTAGCAGACTCACTTTATCTTCAAGGCACTTGTTTACCCACTTTCCCACCTACCTTGCCTACCTTCTAGACCAAGCATATCAAACTCGTGGCCAGTGGGTGGCTCGCCGCCTGTGAGTTTGACATTCTTTTTCTAGACATTTTATTGCACATTACACCCTCCAATGATCATGATCAAAAGAAACACATTATATAAAACCTAAATTCATAAGCTTTGGGTAAGGGAGCAAACATACCAGGAACTTTCATTGAATTTAACTATGCATAATTCCCTTCCTTTTCATTATCTTCACATAAAATAAAAACACTTTCTATGCCTCGTAAGAAAGTGACAAAACCAGGCCCAAGAAACACACAGGTGAAACTATGGTTCCTCCCACCATTCCTGCAAGGGGTTCTGCTATTCGTCCTCCCTTTCAGAAAATCACCCCCACACATTAAGATTGCCAAAAGCTAGTGATCTATTCCATGGAATGGAGATAATCTAACACTTTAAGCCTTAATCCAATCAAAGATTCCTTTCTGAAAGTAGAGACAGACCATAAATTATTAGCTATTTCTTAAATAGAAGAATATAACCAAATACATTAATATATGATACATAATGAACTCTACAGTAAATAAGCCATTACGTCACGGAGCTGAAGTCCTTACAGGGCACCATACACTGACCTTGTGTTCGGTGGGATGGAATGATACTCATGGAGCTAATCCAGTCAGGAGATATCTTTGATACTAAGGAGTATAACACCTCAAGGCTGGTGGCATCCACAACAAGGATTTCAGGATAATGGCCATGGCATAAAAGCCTTCCTTCTCTCTGATTTCCAACAGAGAACTGATAGAACTATAAGGAAAAAGATTCACGTGCATTCATCAAGCTTATTATGAGGCTCAATTTCTTCAGTAATACTTCCAGACATATAATATATGGCATATTACATGTAATATAATATATATATTACATACCTATGTATACACATACACACATCAAGTTGTTAATATTTTCAAAATATCTACTAAATATTATTATTTTCCTAACATCTTATCCTCCCCTTTGAACTACTTTGGAGAATTCATAATGATTCTTTTTTTTTAAATATATTTTATTGATTTTTTACAGAGAGGAAGGGAGAGGGATAGAGAGCCAGAAACATTGATGAGAGAGAAACATTGATCAGCTGCCTCCTGCACACCCCCCACTGGGGATGTGCCCGCAACCAAGGTACACACCCTTGACCAGAATAGAACCTGGGACCCTTCAGTCCACAGGCCAACGCTCTATCCACTGAGCCAAACTGGTTAAGGCCGTGGTCAGCAAACTGGGCTCGAGAGCCACACGCGGCTTTTTGGCCCCTTGAATGTGGCTCTTCCACAAAATACCACGTGCGGGTGCACGGAGAGTGCGATTGAAACTTCGTGGCCCATTCGCAGAAGTCGGTTTTCGGCCTGGGCGAGTCTATTTTGAAGAAGTACTGTTGATATTTGGCTCTGTTGACTAGTGAATTTGCTGACCACTGGGTTAGGGCATAATGATTCTTTTTTATCTTCCTGCAACATCGAAAACAGGACTGTTGAATGAAGTAATAAAACACCTGAGTAAAATCAGCCTGACATTGCCCAGCCAGCGTGGCTCGGTAGGTGAGCATCGACTTATGAACCTGAAGGTCATGGTTCAATTCCCGGTCAGGGCACATGCCCGGGTTGCGGGCTCGATCTCCAGTGTGAGGTGTGCAGGAGGCAGCCAATCAATGATTCTCTCTCATCATTGATGTTTCTATCTCTCTCTCCCTCTCCCTTCCTCTCTGAAATCAATAAAAAAATATATTTTTAAAAAATCAGCTTCACAAATCAAAGCAAAAGAAAAACTTAGGTGGGTCACAAAAATAATATAAATTTTAGATGAATGGGGAATATATGGATATAGGATTATAATAACTAGATATGACCAAATGAAATTTAGAAGTAAAAATGACTGCTATTCAAACTATTATAATCAGAAGTAAATTCTGATTAATATAAGTGTGTTATTTCAGACTAGAGTATGAGACAATTTTGTTAACCAGTCTCATAGTACACATTTACACTTCAAAGCAAAAGAAAAACTTAGGTGGGTCACAAAAATAATATAAATTTTAGATGAATGGGGAATATATGGATATAGGATTATAATAACTAGATATGACCAAATGAAATTTAGAAGTAAAAATGACTGCTATTCAAACTATTATAATCAGAAGTAAATTCTGATTAATATAAGTGTGTTATTTCAGACTAGAGTATGAGACAATTTTGTTAACCAGTCTCATAGTACACATTTACACTTTGTGGGAGAAAAATAGAAGAAGAACCAATACAATCACGATCTACATGTTACTCATGCCAAGAATAACTCCAAAGGATAAGACTGGTTTCCATCAACCAAAGAACAGAGGAAGAATAACTTTCAAAACAAGACCAACAACTTATCCGAGGACCTGTCATGCCTTAACCTCAAAAAATCGTGATTCTCTTAGTAGAATGATTTCCTTAGAGGATTTTTAGGAGGTGAAGACATCTAATTTCGAGTGCTACTTCCCAAGGATTGGACCTTATACAAATAAATGAGGACAAGCTAGACACAGCACAAAGGGCAATGCTGTAACCACTCCATACCTGGGACATCATTAAGGAGCCCGGGTCCAATCTGCTCCCACACCCATTAGCCCTGTTCTCAGAGCTCAACACTGCATGTGAAGAATATGGAGTACCCTGTACAAGAAGGACTTCAACTGCTTAAACATAAGCATTGATCAGATCAAGGAGCACATTAAGTTAATGCAAGGTAGTACCACGAAAACTATAAGAGAGGATGTAATAAAATGCAGATTATTGAAAGAGATACCTCTAGACCTCAGAAAGTTGATTTAAAACATGACACAACCTGGAGGTCCCAGGGACTGCCAGGCATTCACATATAATGTGACCGGAGGTAACCTTGACCCACATGAGGGGAGGGCATGTCAAGGTGCAGAGAAGCAAACTCTGTCATTGTTCATCCCACAGCAGCCAGGAGAGCGATGAGCATGGCAGTCACTGGAAAGAGCTCTCTCCTGAGGGCAGGGGAATTGCATCACCTGCCTAACTAATGCCTCTCACCTCTGGCTTTAAAGTTATACTCCCAAATAATCTTTTCAACACTAATTTGGCTCCTTAGACACTTGATACTGGCAAAGAAAGTGTCCTTAATGGAGAAACAAATTTTCCACATATTAAAAAGGGATGCCCCCACGTGATAATTTCGTAAGTTGTCATTTCCTTGTGGTTTCTAAGTGCCAGTGTCATCAAGGTTTACCACTTCTATGTATATAAAAAACAACTGGCTTCTGGACCTGAGAGGTGACGATCACACAGGAAACAATTGTCACACACTGGTGAACCTGCCAAAAAGCATCTTCTACTGATAAATGGCTGCCAGTTCAAATGCAGGAGGCCTACTACGAGATCTGAGAAAGTAGGCACTGAACAAATGTTGAGTAAATAAAGGTAATTTTTCCTAAAATGTAAACCAAAAGTTTTTAAATTATAAAATTATACAATAGTGAAAATACTTATATCCAATGACTTCAAGACATTTATATGTAATTTTTTAATTAATCTATAAAGTCAATGACTACATCATTTTATTACCCCTTTTCTCTCTATAAACCTTGATGGTTCTTCACATGACAAAAAATACATAATAGGTGCTCTTTAAATAAAAAAGCATATACTCTAACAGTGTTGAAAAAAGATATTTTTCAAAGGCCTTTGCCAGGGCAAGAAATCATACAACAGACCTTTATCACACTATTCACCAGCCTCCCCACAAACATTTTCTAAGTTGTACTGGTGCAGTTGTATTCCTGCAACAAATTATCGGGTTTTTTATTTGTTTGTTTTTGTCCCTAGAGTCAGATAAACCTGATTTGGCACCAGGAATGACTCACTGTGAGACTAAGGCAAGTCATTTAATTAGTATGGGTCTCAGTTTCCTTACATGTGAAATTATACACTCCTATTTAGTTCATAAGGATGTGGGAAGGACTAAATAGAACGCCATACAAGAAATGCTTATACAATATTTGCTCAATAAATATGAGTTCTCTTCCCTCTCCTTCCCCCTTGAGAACATAAATCATATTTTCTATATATTTGTAATTTTCTCAACACAGTAAATGATGAGTAAGTAGATGCACAAAGAACCTGACAATTATGAAAGAGTAGGAAAGAATACTAGGAGTGTAAGTTGGAAACAGTACATTCCCGTGTTAACCCTTATGTAAGCCAGGGATATGAAATGGTCATTTCCTCTACAGAGTTGGAAAATCAAAAAATGTACTAAGAACCAGCTACACAAACAATGAAAATTATATGGCCCGTAAAGTGGGTCAATTTGTGTCAATCATGAATGGAACCATAAAGGTTTCAGCAAGAATGAATTCCCTTATTTAGGATCTAGAGAACATACTACCCGTCCAGCTCCCACTTGGGTAGCCAGGAGAGCCAGAAGGAGCAGAGCAGTAGAGCCAATCGGCTTAGTTTACAGTGCCAGTGGTTCTCAACCTCCCTAATGCCACGACCCTTTAATACAGTTCCTCATGTTGTGGTGACCCCCAACCATAAAATTATTTTCGTTGCTACTTTATAACTGTAATTTTGCTACTGTTATGAATCGTAAGTAAATATCTGATATGCAGGATGTATTTTCATTGTTCGCGACCCACAGGTTGAGAACCGCTGGTTTACACCTTTCCCCATTAGTCTCCTCTACTTAATTCTCTCCCCCACTATACCATCACATAGGAATAATTTTACAAATTCTAGTCTTCCTGTCATCTCCACCCATCTTTCATATAAAAATATAGGTCAATGTTTAAAGAACGTTTTTCATTGTATGCCTGTAATAATTGTGCTGACGTAGGCAGTTTACAGAAATAGATACTCACCTGTATGCCAGTATGTGTGCAGGCTAATTTTGTAAATTCAATACATCTGCCATCACTCACATCCCAGAGACACATCTCTCTATAAGACAAAATAATAGCTAACTTTAATTGGATTTGTAAAAGCACCGTTCAGCTTTGTCACAGTGGTTTAAAACTCATCTCCCATTAAAACTGGTCTGTTTCAGAAAAAGTAGTGTATAGTCATTATTGCTCTTCATCAAAAATCCTGTTCCTCCCACTCACCATCCCAACCTCCTTTCCAGCTTGCCCACCCTCACCTTCATCCACATTCTTTCTGGGCAGATGGTAGAACTACTGCACTGCCCGGCTACCTTTGGTTGGTGGAGCACCATGAGTAGCTCTGGCCAGAACCCATGCAAAGCCCTCCAGAACTCTTTCTCCTCTGGCTGCTTCAGACAGTGGTTGCTCCCTCAACCTCAACCTCAGAGTTAGGATAATAACAAAGCAGAGCAGAGCCCCAAGGGATATATGAGGGGCAAGTGACAAAAAAACAAGAAATAACCTTGTAGTTTATATCACTGAGATGGTTATAAACATAGCTAGAAAATTTAGCACTGCAGAAAAACAAATAAAAACGTTAACTGAATTACAAACCTTTTCAAATTAAATGTAATATTCCAGTTTTGATTCCGTATTTATTACAGAAGTTTTATTGAATAAATACAAACAGAAAAGCATATGTCAAACTAAAAGATACAACATTCAAAATCAAAAATGTCAACGCCTTATCTTTTAAAGAAATAAACTTAAGATTTATTTAACAGAAAAGAACATTAATAAAATGCAATGATCCTGATATTATTAGGGTTTTCTTTGAAATGCCCTTTCCTATATTTCACATAGTATGAAACAATATTTCAAAAAAGCTCCATCTATTTAGACTATGTATTCTAAAGTTGAGTTATTTAATTGACCAAAAGGTACTATATTTTTACCTGATGCTGCCTCTTTTCACACAAGGTTCTTTTCAAATTCATAAAATTATGAGGAAGGTGGAGAAGATAACTTCTTAAATAATTCTCTTCCAGTTCCCCAACTCTCTTCAATAACATGTTATGTAAATATACAATTTTCTAAGTGCCAAAAAAGTTTTAAAACATTCGTACACTCTGAACCCTACAACTACTGTTCAATGACCTATCTCTCCAAAAGCAAGCTATATTCTGAGATTAGGAATATATATGGTTACACGAGAGTATTAACATACGTTAATATAACTGCATGAACTTTTACGTCATCTTCCAAGATGAAGTTGGCTTCATCTTCCAAATTTGTGCCAGCCTAGCATCATCAGGGTTTTTAAAACTCTCAAAGTTGTCCACCAACTCAATGACAATGCCATGGGGATTAATGCTCAGCTTTAACTTGTACGGTATTCTGAGTTTCTCAAAAGCAAGCCAAAGACATAATAATAAATTATAATAGAAGTATTAGAAAAGTCATTAATAAAGATGAAATGCACCCGGCCGGAGTGGCTCAAGGTTGAGCATCAACCTATGAACCAGGAGGTCACGGCTCGATCCCCAGTGTGGGGTGTGCAGGAGGCAGCCAACCAATGATTCTCTCTCGTCATTGATGTTTCTATTTCTCTTTCCCTCTCCCTTCCTCTCTGAAATCAATAAAAATATACTTAAAACAAAAAAAAAAGATAAAAATGCACATTTTAAAACTACATTTTTAAGTATCTTTAAATTTAGATAACTGGAACATTTATTTAAAAGATACTACAAAAAAAAAAAAAAAGAAAACACGTTCCCTAGTTACGAATACACTGGTACTGTTTGCAATAAAGTCTTATGAGGAAAATAGTGAATAAGAAAATGCTTACCCACATTCAGATGCACTCACAATATATTGTTTGTCACTAGAAGCACAAGCTTTAGACAAACAGGTGATTGAAGCTGTATGACCAAATAACAGTGCCCGGGGATTAACCTAGAAATACACAAATATGTTGATATGAGTACCAAATTTTTAAAAACTAATATTTTTTAGGAATCCTGTTAAATATTCATATAAATATAAAGATGTAGATTTGAACCCTAGACAATTTGGCTCAGTGGATAGAGTGTCAGCCAGACTGAAAGGTCCTGGGTTCGATTCCGATCAAGGACATATGTCCAGGTTGCAGGCTTGATCCCCAGTGTGGGGCATGCAGGAGGCAGCCGATCAATGATTCTCTCTTATCATTGATATTTCTAGCTCTCTCTCCCTCTCCCTTCCTTTCTGAAATCATTAAAAATATATATATTTTTTTAAATGTAGATTTGAGAAGATTGCTTAGAATACCAAAAACTAAAAATAATAAATAATAAAACAGTGATTCCTACCTATTCAATGCTCCCAATAACCCTACCAAGCATTTCTGAGGTTGAAATTGGAACACCACAAGATGACATTACTCGCCGAGTGTCATACAGGGAGTGATGGAGCCACAATTCAAACCAGGGCGGGCGGTCTTAAACACTAAACTAAGAGCATACTGAGAAATCAGGCTAAGGATGTGAATTAGCATGTAAAATCATTTAACCTCACTTATTTTTTAAATAATAGCTTTACTGATCTAAAAGTACATTTAGAGTATCCTCCTTTTACTAATATCATCTCTATAGGTACTCACTAAACTATTGCTTCTGCAATTTCTCTGACATTTTATTGCCACTGTGTTAGGCCAGGATGCCCTTTTTAGAGGTAAATGGAGATGAAGATATGGATGGCAAAAGTTGTAGCTACAGTTTTGAATCCTTTCCTAGCAAAAGAAGAAGAGAAGATACCATGACCTATAAAGGAGGCACTTTGTGCCTTCCCTCTGAATGTTACATTTCTTCTTACTGGTCCTTAGCATTTGGCATAAATAGTTGATAGAAAGTATAACAGTTAAGAAGACCCTCCATATATATCAAAAGACAACAACCAAGCCACCTCTTACTTCACCTTCTTTTCCCCTGGATAAATAGTCCAATTCCTTTGATATTTCTCTCCTAGCTGCCTCCTCCCCACATCTCACATCAGTCACTTTTATCCCTTGAACTTAAATACATATAACATTCTAGTGAAATCCATGCAGTAAAAGAATTGTTTCTAAGACCTCACAAGTTAAATCTTAGCTGCTTATAATCATTCCAGTAAAACGTGGTGTGATATTTTTTCTCATCACTGCATTGCTGATTCATACTTAGCTTTCGATCAGGCCTGAAGGCATATCACATTCTACAGCATTCATTTCCAGTTACTTTTCAACCTCTTAACCCAGCTAGCCTTTACGTGTGTGGATCATTTTTCCAGGTTTAGCAATTTCACCCGTAGGTGTATACCTAACAGCAATGGAAAGATGTCCACACAAAAACTCATACACAAATGTTCACAGCAGCATTATTCAGTACAGCCAAAGTGAAAACAACCCAAATATCTACCAACTGATAAAAAGACAAATAAAATGTAGTATACCATAGCCTAAGCGACCGTTACAACCAAATGACTGAAACAACAGATCGGCCAGTCGCTATGATGTGCACTGACCACCAGGGGGCAGACGCTAAATGCAGGAGCTGCCCCCTGGTGGTCAGTGTGCTCCCACAGCCAACCTCCCATGGCCAGCTAGCCAACCTCCTCCCATCCACCCGCCCAGCAAACCTCCCGCTGTCCCTCCCCCTGCCCAGCAGGCCCCGCCCCCAGGCCAGCCTGGCTCAATCGGGACTGGGCAAGACAGCCCCGATAAGCCCTGATCACCAGCCAGGCCTAGTGACCCCACCCGTGCACAAATTTCGTGCACCGGACCTCTAGTGCAATATATTTGGCAATGAAAAGAAATGAAGTACTGACATGTGCTATAACATGGATAAACCTTGAAATATTATGCTAGTGAAAAAAGCCAGTTACAAAAAACCCACACGTTACATAATTCCATTTATATGAAATGTCCAAAATAGGCAAATCTATAAAGATAAAAAATAGATTAGTGGTTGCTTAGGGGGAAATGGTTTATTGGAAATGACAGCTAAAGAGTACAGGTTTGTTTTTGAAGTAATGAAAATGTTCTAAAAGTGACTATGATAATGGTTGTACAACTCTCTAAATCATTAAATTGTACACTTTAAATGAGTAAACTGTATGGTAGGCAAATCTTATCTCAATAAGACTATTACCATAAAACAATTACTTAAAAAGTCAACTATCTTGCCACGAATTCCAGGCTAGCAGTCACCTCATTTTCTCTGGTTCCCTTTACAAAAACTCTCCTGGAGAGAGTTGCCAGAGAAGGGAGATTTAAAAAATGGAAAAAGATAAAAGCAGAATAAACCCTGCAATGTAATACTTGAATTGCAGGTAGTAAGTGAACTTCATGTATGTGCATGTGTGTGTGTCCCCAGCTCCTATTTTCCAAGTCTGCCCACTGAGAGGTTCCAGCTGTAGAGCACACTGCACACGCATATCAGTAGTAAATACATAGTGAATTTTCAAAATAAATACAACAAAATGTACACTTTAAATTGTTAACTTTTGGAAGCCTCCTTCAAAATGGGTAAAAAATTTTTGACAAGTTATAAATGTAATGTGTTATGGCACTTAGGATAGATATTATATTTGAAAATAGCCAAAAGCCAGCAAAAAAACAACTCTGATGAATAATATAAATAATCAGTCTGCATAATACCAATTCTATTCAAAATGTATTTCGCAGAAATATATGATGAGGTCAAGTGCTATTCTTGATCTGTGTTTTTCTCTACTAAGTAGTTTCTTATATTTAAAAAGCACAATAGGCATTTCAAATACTCACTTCCAATTCTACTGAAAGATCCCAGAGGCATATCTGTCCATCATGGCACCCGGTTACGATTGTGGCCCCGTCATCTGTTAAAAGTACTGCTGAGATGCAATGTGTAGGTGCTTTGCGACCCCAAAGAACGATGGGTAGAACAAGGCTATTTCCTGCCATTGTGTTTTCAAACCTGGAAATGTTATCAGAATAATGTCAAATATTACAATATTTCCTTCTAAAACATATACATTTTTCTTATGACGCCATTGTGAATTTCCTAAGCCTCAGAATTCTTCTAAACATTACACATATTAGACACAAATACATAAAATCTCATTATAGATGTAAAATCTCAATTAATCTTCACAACAAATCATGCAGTAAGTCCTACTGCCACTCCTCTTTCACAAATAAAGACAGTGAGTCATAGAGTTGCAAAGTGAACGTGAAGGAAAGAAGCTCCAATCAGAACCCAGGCAGCTACTTCAGATGCTATGTTCTTCCTGCTGTGCTGCCAACGACCAGTGAGGTCTCCAGGCTGGGAAGGGTTGGGGGTGAGGGTGAGGGGTGGGGGGGTGTTAAGAGATCAACCAAAGGACTTGTATGCATGCATATAAGCATAACCAAAGGACACAAGACACTGGGGGATAGGAGAGGCCAGGGGAAGGTGGGGGGGGGGGGGGGGGACATATGTACTACTCTTTGGAATATTTTAAGCAATAAAACAAAATTTAAAAAAATTAAATTAAATTAAAAAACCGTTTTAAGTCTACAAACCAGTAATAAACATCAATGCCCAAGAAAAACTCAGTGTTTCACAGTTCTACACATTAAAAAAAGTAAGTTCAGTGAGAAACTCATTCAACCATATTTACCACAAGCCTATTATGTCTCAAGGCCATGACTGTCTTTTGTGAAACTTGAGGGGAAAAGAATTTCTCTTTAAATTCCTTTCTGCATAATAAAAAGTTTTATTTTTAAGATGAATGACCAACTAATCAATGTATATTGGAATACTCCTCTTACACACATATAAGGAATGTGCTAGATTTAAGTGTCATTAACTGTGTGGTTAAAAACCTAAATACTAGTTCAGAGAAGTTAGAGAGAAATGAAGACTGGGATAATCAAAGAGGCTTCCACAGAAAACAGAAGACTGTCAGGTCTCATAAGACAATAGGGGGTCACCTAGAGGCCTGATAGATGGTCAATGAAAAGAAATGTCACTGTAGTTATTTTTTTCTACCCCAGATATTTAAGTGACAATAGAAATATGTATATAACTCTAGACTCTTTAGAATGCTAAGGCTGTCCTAAGAAATTTTCAGGAATACTCAAAGGAATAGGTACTTTCTATAAAAGAAACTGGTTTGATAGCCATTGTCTCATTGCTAATTGCTTTTAGCAAAAGTCTCTTCTTTAGACTACCACCTACACACCTTAAACAAAAACAAAAAACTAAAATCTCTTTATAAAATGAATAGTCACTAGAAAATTAGGCAAGTAAAAAATTATGATTGACATTGGAATGTTTACTAAAAACAATCTATATTACATCTTTTACTTTTTGTTATAATACATGGCTTTCATTAGTTTTTTTTCCTCCCAAAACTTCATCTTTTTGCTATATCAGGTATACATTTAAAGAAAAACATTCCAAGTTTATTTCTATTAATAAAACCCTATATGTATCATATTCACCATCTCATAAACTACCATGACACTAACCATTATCTCCATATCCCTATTTGATATCAGAATATTTTATTTTTTTTTTAATATATTTTATTGATTTTTTACAGAGAGGAAGGGAGTGGGATAGAGAGTTAGAAACATCGATGAGAGAGAAACATCAATCAGCTGCCTCCTGCACGCCCCCTACTGGGGATGTGCCCACAACCAAGGTACATGCCCTTGACCAGAATCGAACCTGGGACCCTTGAGTCAGAAGGCTGACGCTCTATCCACTGAGCCAAACTGGTTAGGGCTTGATATCAGAAAATTTTAAAAAAGCACTGAACCAATTTAATAAACTTGGTACAGCATGTTCCTGGCTGAATAACATATCTAACCATGATTTTTCTCAAAATGAGAATCTGGAAGGAGTTCATTTTTCCATGGTGACAACACTCAATTTTAAACTACAGCACCCAAAGATTTCTCTCAATTAAACAAGCTCACAGCATCGAATGCAGTATGGTGAGATCTGAAAGAACACAATTTATCTATTTGAGGACTCATATTCAATGCACACTGCTTGGCTTAAGGAGAATGCAAATAGACAGATTCAGAACTAAGGAATGTGTGTGCTAAGAGAGATGTGCCTGCTCTGATGCAACAGGAAAGGACATTCTGGTATTCAAGTGACAAAGCAACTCAAGGAGACCCGGGAGAAGAATGCATTGCATGGTCCTTAAAACAGTGAAAATAATCATCCATAACATGATAAAGGTATAGCTTACATCATTAAAATACACATCAATCTCTAACTCAGCTTTTCCAGAAGCTAAAATAATTACAAAGATTTAGGGGGGGAAAACATAAAATCAAGAACTAAGAGTTAACCAGAATCTGAAAGATCTCATTCGGGCAATTAAGAAACTTCATATGGGCCCTGGCCGGTTTGTCTCAGTGGATAGAGCGTCGGCCTGGGGACTCAAGGGTCCCAGGTTCGATTCCGGTCAAGGGCATGTACGTTGGTTGCGGGCACATCCCCAGTAGAGAGTGTGCAGGAGGCAGCTGATCGATGTTTCTCTCTCATCGATGTTTCTAACTCTCTATCCCTCTCCCTTCCTCTCTGTAAAAAATAAATAAAATATATTTTAAAAAAAAAAAGAAAGAAAGAAACTTCATATGGGATTGGATGTTTCCTAGAACTGATGTGACCACAAACTGAGTGGCTTAAACAACAGAATTTATTGTCTCTCAGTTCTTGAGGCTAGAAGTCCAAAATCAAGGTGTAGGTAGGGCTGGTTCCATCTGAGGGCTGGTTCCAGGCCTCTCTCCTTGTCTTATAGAAGGCCACCTTCATGTTCATTTGGCATTCGCCCTGTGTTCATGTCTCCAAATTCCCCCTTTTTTATAAGGATATCAATCATATTGAATTAGGACCCACCTGATGACCTCATTTAAACTTGATTATCTCTATAGAGGTCACATTCTGAGGTACTGGAGGATAGGACTTCAACATGTAGATTCTGCCCTGGCCAGTTTGGCTCAGTGGATAGAGCATCGGCCTGGGGACTGAAGGGTCCTGGGTTCAATTCTGGTCAAGGGCACATGCCCAGGTTGTGGGCCCGATCCCCAGTAGGGGGCGTGCAGGAGGCAGCCAATCAATGATTCTCTCTCGTCATTGATGTTTCTATCGCTCTCTCCCTCTCCAAAATCAATAAAAATATATTTAAAAAAACAAACAAAACAAAAAAAATGTGGATTTTAGGGGAAAACAATTCAACCCATCACAGGAATATATCCTTTTAAAAGAACATAACCTAAAATTACTTAATTATCAAAAAGCAATCCCCCTAAGGAACTAATGTAAAGAACTTAACTATATCTTTTCCAAGGAATCACAGTTAACTGCTTATCTGAGGATTAAGGTAAAAAGTCCTGTACAACCAAGGTAAGGAGTTACCACCTTATGTTGTGTTTGGGGGGAAGGGAGAGGTAAGAAGGGGGACCAGAATCCAAATTCACTGCTGTATTTCCAAGGAAATTAGATTGCAAAAACTAATACTGTCCTATGCACAATGCTGTTTCTTGGCTGGTATACTTTAATAAGATCTCTACATAGAAAGTGTCTGTTAGGTGAGACATTTGAAAGAGAAATAACCATAAAGGATACCTGAAATAAAGCTGCAGTAGAAATCACAATCAGTAGCTGATATTGATGTCTGACTGCTGGGATGAGGGTAATTTCAGTGAAATACAGAAGAAACAAACAACTTCTAAATAAATGATAATCAATCCAAAGGGCCTGGAAGATGGGATTGGAAGACAGAGGAGAATAGGTTTCAGGTCCTGGCTAGTAAGGGGAACAGAGAGTCTTGTTCTCGGGACTCACGTGGAGAAATGGATTTGTGCTCCTAGGTCTCAGAACTTGATATTAAAACCTCCTAGACAACAGGATATTAAATCCGATTTGGGGGCAGACTGCGGGGAATGGGTTTTGAAAAATGCTGTTGAAGGCAGAGAAAACTGTCGAAGACATTTGGGCACTGGTTCTGCCATCTCTCCTCAGAAAAGGATGCATCTTTGCTAAGATGCTGCATGAGTTCAAAAATAGGACAGCTTTGCCCTGACCGGTTTGGCTCAATGGATAGAGCGTCGGCCTGCGGACTCAAGGGTCCCGGGTTCGATTCCTGTCGGGGGCATGTACCTTGGTTGTGGGCACATCCCCATAGGGGGTGTGCAGGAGGCAGCTGATCAATGTTTCTCTCTCATCGATGTTTCTAGCTCTCTATCACTCTCCCTCCCTCTCTGTAAAAATCAATAAAATATATTTTTTAAAAAAATAGGAGAGCTCGACCTTCATAAAAACTCCTCTGACCTTAGATGTTTTGTTAACAGGACAAATAAACTTCCTACTTGTTTAAGGTCATGGTGTTTGAGTTTTGTTACATATAAATGTACAATATTCCTAACTGCATGTTCAAATACATTACACACCCAATGTTTGTAAGAAAAATATCTGTGGCCTAAATGAAGTGGTAAGAAGAATAATAAGAAATTACAGTAAAGGAAAAAGCCTAAGGCCCCTACAAGTAAGAGGGGGAGCTTGGCTGAGGGTGAGGAGAGGACAGGGAAACAAATACCACCATCCTCCTGTGCCCAGGCCCCTTCACTCTGGCTGAAGGTAATTAAAGTGTATCCACGCCCTAACCGGTTTGGCTCAGTGGATAAAGCGTCGGCCTGTGGACTGAAGGGTCTCAGGTTCGATTCCGGTCAAGGGCATGTACCTTGGTTGTGGGTACATCCCCAGTAGGGAGTGTGCAGGAAGCAGCTGATCGATGTTTCTCTCTCATTGATGTTTCTAACTCTCTATCCCTCTCCCTTCCTCTCTGTAAAAAATAAATAAGTATATATTTTTTAAAAATAATACATAAATAAATAAAATAAATTAATAAATAAAGTGTATCCATGGTCAGCCCACATGTGAAAGATGAATTTGACTTAGATGGTTGATATGTACAATATAATGTGTGTATAATTAAATTTTATACAAGTCCAGTATATAACAGCTAGTCTTGCCTAGCTTATAAGAGAATTCAAGAAATTTACACCCAAAGGAATACAGTGACATTTTCTTCCAGGTGGCAATATGCTAGTTCTTATTTTCAAGATTCCTTCGATATCCTAGGTCATCTTAATTTCTATACAAATTTTGAAGTCGGCTTGTAAATTTCTGCAGAAAATCCTGCTGCGATTACAATTGGAGCTGCATCAAATTCATAGATCAGTTTGGAGAGCCCTGGCTCCTCAAGATTTGATGAAATATCACCAAGGCAAAAGTGCATTCTAAATCCAAGGATATGTCTTAAAGGGATTTAAGGCCAAAGTAGCATGTTTGGCTTTTTCACTTCAGTCAACAACAATTAAAGTAACAATTGAGCTCGGCTGACATGGTTCAGTGGTTGAGCGTCCACCTATGAACCAGAAGGTCACAGTTCAATTCATGGTCAGGGCACATGCCCAGGTTGCAGGCTCAATTCTCTGTGTGGGGCATGCAGGAGGCAGCCAATCAATGATTCTCTTCATCATTGATGTTTCTTTCTCTCTCTCCCTCTCCCTTCCTTTCTGAAATCAATAAAAATGTATTTTTTTAAAGTAACAATTGAAAGAACACTGAACTCACAATCAGAAGAACTGCACTCAAGTCCTGGCCCTTCTGTGCAATCTTGAAAAAGTTATCCCTCTGGGTCTCAGCGTCCCCATCTGTAAAAGATGGACAATAACACCCTCCTTTCAGAAAGCTGTCATAAAGATGAAAAGAAACCAAACATGTAAAGCAGCTAGTAAAATACCCAGCACATGGCAGAAACTCAGTAAATATTAATTTTAAAAACACATAGATCTTGCTACTTCACATTCTGCTTCCATATCTACTAGTTTCTCTCAGCACTGCAACTTAATATTTAATAAAGTTGGACTTTTCAACAAGTTAATATCTTTCATTGACTTTCTGCCATAATAGAAAAGCACCACTGTGTATGTTTGTCAAAGACAATTCTATTATCTCCATATATGACCACTCAGTTCTGCATCACTTCATCAAAAATAACACTACGAACTCCCTTCCCAATACTAAGATAGCTTTCTAATTAAATTCTGATTTCATAATGACAATCATCACTATACATTTTGGGCAGATTTTCCAACTGTCCATTTTGTGCCTATACCATGGTATTACAATGTAGATAAAACAAGCACAATTCAACCATCCAGTAGAGCTTACACACATGCAAACAATTACCACAGAGTGTGATACAGGAGAAATCTCAAGACCATCAAGTCATAGGTAAAGCCATAAAAGATGAACATCCTAACCTGACTCCAATGGGTCCAGAAAGGAGTCTTGGAAGAAATGGTGTGTGAGAATGAGTAGGAACTAACCCAGGAAGAGGCACATATAATCACATGTTCTAGGTCCCAGAGGTAAGACATCTCAGTTCTTTCTGCACAGTGAAACTAGGAGGGCGGGCATTTGGGGGAAATGGCAGAATGACAAGACAGGAACCCACAGGTCAGCATGCACCAACTGCAAAGGACTTAGTAAGCCATCCTAAAGAATTTGGAGTTCAACCTGACAGCAGTGGGAAACTGGTCAAGTGTTTCCAATCTGACTATTACTACCCAGAGTAATAAGAAGAGAGAAAGGAAGCAAGCATGAGGGGAAGGAGGAAGGAAAGTGAGAACATAAATGAGTCAGAAGAAGAACCGAGGCATGATCTAGTCTCATAGGGGTGACAACTCAGGACATATTTTCATAAAATGGCACCAGAGAATTCAACAAAAGGTGCTCCACATGAACGGCAAAAATTCAATCACCCTTTGCCTGTATCAGTAAGCCAAGTCATTGCAAAAGTTGGTGAAATGTGGGTCTACCTCCTGCTGTTTTGCTTCTCTTTTTACATTTAAGCAGTTGTGTTAAAAGAAAGGCTTTTGTAATTGATAAAAAATAATACCACCTCCGAACCTAGTAACGGAGAGCGTATAGCTCATTATCATCTTAGAGATATTTATTTTGGTGGCTATTTAGATCCATTAGCAACTCTCTCAAGATCACACTGTAAACTGATCTCAGAGCTCAGAGGCATATGCAGACCTCCTGATTTCTAATGAATAAATATTTGTCACTATTCTATATTATCTTCATTTGCCACAGATTCCTTTTAGCAGAAAACTTTATTCCCTAGTCGATCTGGCTGATCAAGATTTTACGAACACACATTACTCACAGGAAAGTAGAAGTGTAGTATTTCTGGATAAAATGATACGCTGCCTGGGCTCAGTGGCACTTGGAGGGGGGCAGAGGGAAACGGGGGGTAAGAGGTATTGGAAGGGATGAAGGTGAAGCAGGATAAGTGTGATAGACATGAAGGACTGCCCCAGCCAAAGGGAGATGCCTTACCCAAGCTCTTGCTACCTTCCAGTGGGAAAGCCCACACCCAATGCCTGGTCAATTCGGGGGGTATAAGAGCTAGGCCCCCACATATCACTTCAGGATAGCTCCGGAAGGGTCATTCATTCCGTCTAGGAGCTGCCCCCAGAGCCCACTGAAATACACGGAGACATCACAGCTCACCTTCTCTTCCAAGCCAAACCTGCCTCCTTTCCTTCCTTTCCCTGGTCTTGATATTAAGAGCACAACCCAATAAACCTGAGTACTAATCTCCATCTCACAGTCTGCTCACCAGGGAATCCAAACTGTAAAAATAAATGATAAAGCTTTTTTAGTACAAGAATATTCACTACATATTTTTATATGTTTGAAAATTTCCCTAATTGTTAAAAGGTACATGAAAAGAACTTTCATGTCCATCAATCAGGGATTGGTAAAATAAATTACGACAGAGCCTTACAACAGAAAACTGCTCTGTAAGATATGAAATGATCTCCAAAATACATAGTGGGAGAGAAAGGTGCAGTACAGTGTGTAAAATACATTCCCATTTTGGGTGGAAAAGGTGGGGGAGAACCTGGCTGGTGTGACTAAGTTAGTTGAGAGTCATCCTGTGTACTGAATGGTTGCTGGTTTGATTCCCAGTCAGGGCACATACCCAGGTTAGGGTTCCATCACCTGTTGGGGTGCATGAGGGAGGTAGCTGATCTCTCACATCGATGTTTCTCTCTATTTCTCCCTTCCTCTCTCCCTCCCTCCCTCTCCCTCTCCCTCTCCTCTCTAAAAACCAATAAAAATACATTTTTAAAAGGGGGGAGGCTATATATGTATCTATACATAGCTATAATGGAAGTAGGATCTAAAGGCATCAGTAGGTTCAGGTGAAACATTTTTGGCAAGAATATTTCATAGATGATGCACACATCACAATGCATCACCACAGCAGGCATGCTAATGTCACACGGTCCTACACCACTTGCTTAAGGTCATGACTACCAGCTATTCCACCATCGCTGTTTGTTCCCCTGTAAAATTATCACCAGCCTATGGAGTGATACTCTGATAAGCCTACCCTGTTCTGCACTATCCCATGTGATACTGGTATCCTATGCAATTTTTAAAAGTTATAAAACAGTTAAGATGACATTTGAAAAATCTAGCATTGTATCAATGTTAATTTCTCGATATTGCTTTTCTAACTCTCAAATGCAAAATCAAGATGCATTTCTATCCCAGAACATAGGCATTTTCATAGGAGAGTCAATATCGTCTTGGTCTGTGTATTTCCTGTGTCCTAGGCAAGCCTCCTGAGACTTACAGACAAAAACAAATTCAAATTCTCCCTCATGAGAATGGCCACACATGAAGAAGAGTGGACCGCCCTCGCCGATTTGGCTCGGTGGATAGAGCGACGGCCTGCGGACTAAAGGGTCCCAGGTTCGATTCTGGTCAAGGGCATGTACCTTGGTTGTGAGCACATCACCAGTAGGGGGTGTGCAGGAGGCAGCTGATCAACGTTTCTCTCTCATCGATGTTTCTAACTCTCTCTATCTCTCTCCCTTCCTCTCTGTGAAAAATCAATAAAATATATTTTAAAAAAAAGAAGAGTGGACCTACACTACCCGTCTACCAACAGGGAATATGAGAAGCAGAGACTACACACTACACAGCTAAATATACTTGCCGTAGCTGCAATGAAAGAAGAAAAAACTATTTTAAACATTTATTCAAACTCTCAGAGAACATTCCAACATCATTTGTCAAAAGAGTGTGTTCAAGCCCTAGCTGGTTTGGCTCAGTGGAGAGAGCATGGGCCTGCGAACGGAAGGGTCCCGGGTTCGATTCCAGTCAAGGGCACATGCCCATGTTTCGGGCTCCAACCCCAGTAGGGGTGTGCAGGAGGCAGCTGATCAATGATTCTCTCTCATCACTGATGTTTCTCTCTCTCGCTCTCCCTCTCCCTTCTTCTCTGCCTTCTTCTCTGAAATCAATAAAAATGCACTTATATAAAAAAAAAAAAGAGTGTTCAAGTCAAATTCACAGTATGATGTGATGAAGGAAATGATCATTAATACTACAAATTTTCTTTAAGCTTGTGCTTTCTTAAAAAACATATTTTTATGGAAGGGAGAGAGAGAAAAGCATCAATGATGAGAGATAACCATCAATCAGTTGCGTACTGCACGCCCCCTACTGGGGATGGAGCCCACAACCCAGGCATGTGCCCTGACTGGGAATTGGACCTGCAACGTCCTGGTTCATAGGTCAACGCTCAACCACTGAGCCACGCCAGCAGGGCTAGCTGGTGCTCTTGCTACCATTTTATTGAAGACTTGGAGAAAATGGAATCAGATCATGAAAACTGTTTATTAGAATGCAATGACACAACTAGGTCATAAAATGTCCTAAAGAAATTACTGAGGTGCTTCCTAAAAACAAGGGTTTCTGGAATTAAAGAGTTGTGAGGGACACAATCTTCTGAACATGAAACTTGTCACTAAATTGACAAGATTATACTTTCTTATTTAGGTGGCAAGAAATCTACTCCCAATGAACTTGACATTTTAGGACTGATTTTGTAAAAGGAAATTCCAGTATTGTTTCTAAAGGACATGTGGAATGAGCAGATGGCAACAGAAGACTACGCTTATTTCTTATTGCTAAGCCAGCCCTGAGCACATGGAAGTCAGGTTTTGAAGTTCTGTAGAGCTATCTGGTCAAAAATAAATCAGAGATTTTTAAAAGATTCATAGATTTTGAGGCAAAATAAATCATGTTTAACACTTGGAGTGCCATTAGGATGTCTGAACTCTTCTTATCACCAACCTGCCTCAACTTCAAGAATCACCCTTTAACCTTGTACTGATATGTATGCATATATGCATGGCCTAAGGGCACTGACAATGGGGCGGTGAGGGCCTGGGGCAGAGGGCGTGGGGGGGGGGGCTGGAAGGGGTCAAGGGGGGGTGGAAAGGAGACATATGTAAAAATAAATAAATAAATAAATAAATAATAAGAATTACTAAGCTAAAAGCAAACTATGCCCACTAAGCCCCTACATTTCAGGGAGAGCAGCTTCAACTTTATGCCCCCACCCACCGCTATCCTCACTGCACCTCCATCATTCCTACTTCCTCCCTTCACAAGGCCATCAAAATTCTAAAGTGAGCACTGAAGTTTCTCGTTGTTCACAAATTACACTGCCCAGAAGCAGAGACAATAATGCTTTCCCATGACTAGCTGTAAACCTTGAGGAAATGCGTAACCTCTTTCCAAGTCAGAGTATCTTCATTTGCAGCATTCCCCTCCTCCTCAAAAATAACCTAAAGGAAAATGTTCTGCCCATTAGAAGCTGCTGTTGACAAGGTCACCAATACCGTCCCCACGTCCCACGAGTAAGGCCAATGTCAAATCCTAATCCACGTCTTTCTAGACCTACCAGCAGCATTTGGCATAGTTCATACGTCATCTTTCTCAAAACACTTCCCCACTTGGCCTCCATGTCTTCACACTTTCCTGCCATCTCTCTGGCTTTAGTCTCGTCTCCACTTTTCTGTGTTGGTTGTTGGTTCTTTTTGTTGTTGTTTTGTTTTTTTATCTTTAAATGTTGAACTTCTCTTCTCTGGCAACCATCCTCCCTCCCTCTCTCCCTTAATGACCTCACCAAGTCTCAGATGTCACCTACAGATGTCAACATGTACTGCGTGGCTCAGTGGTTGAACATCAACTTATAAACCAGGAGGTCACAGTTCAATTCCCGGTCAGCGCACATGCCCAGGTTGTGGGCTCTATCTCCAGTGTGGGGTGTGCAGGAAGCAGCCGATCAATTATTCTCTCTCATCACTGAAGTTCCTAGCTCTCTCTCCCTCTCCCTTCCTCTCTGAAATCAACAAAAATATATTTTTAAAAAACAGGTATCTGCTTATTGATGATAGGATTTCATTAAGTCACACATAAACCTTCAGTGAGTTCTGCTGATGATCAATAGCATGCATACACAGGGTGGGCAAAGTAGGTTTACAGTTGTGAATATGTGAAACAGTTTACTCTTGTATTATTATTTATTAATTATTGTATTATTTGTATTGCAACTGTAAATCTACTTTTGCCCACCCCTGTATGTAAGATTACTAACTCTTTATAAAGTGCAACAATCAGATGCACAAAACGGGAACTGAACTTACAAACCTCACTGACCCCATACTCTAATCATCAAGTTCATCTGTCCCAACAAATAAAGCAAGTGCCACAGAGAAATATAACAGATAAACCCAGGAATAAAGTCACTACCTAGTTCCAGGCCTAACTCTACAAGCACTAAAATGATTTCAAGACTTCTACTACCAATTTTGATCTTTGCATGAGGACAGACCATCAGGGACCAGGGGCGGGACTTATCTCTGTAAGTCAGCTCCCCTCTGGTTTGGGGAGCGCACTTTTCCTTTCCTCCAGAGCAGTGGTTCTCAACCTTCCTAATGCCGCGACCCTTAATACAGTTCCTCTTGTTGTGGTGACCCTCAATTTCATTGTTACAAATTGAACATAATTAAAGCATAGTGATTAATCACAAAAACAATATGTAATTATATATGTGTTTTCCGATGGTCTTAGGCAACCCCTGTGAAAGGATCTTTCGACCCCCAACGGGGTCGCGACCCACAGGTTGAGAACCACTGCTCCAAAGGCTAAAGGCTGTGTTTCCCAGCTGGAGCTGAGATACCAAAAAAGTCTTCCGGAAGAGCTGCCTTGCCCTGGGGCTGCCTCACAGCCCTGAGGCTTCTCCACAGCTGTGCTGTATCAAACCTGAGCTGTTCGCACTGAATAAAGTTTCCTTCTTCACCACTCCCCACATTGGAGATTCCCCTTGGCACCAATGACCATGGATTGACAGTCCTTAGGCGATTTCATCACTGTGTGAACATCAGAGAGTGCACTTACACAGGCATAGATAGATGGTATGGCCTACTACACACCGAGGCTACATTGTACAGTTTATTGTTCTGCAGGGGAGGAAAAATAATTTCCCTCTATCCTTCAGAGCGCTTGGCTGAGACATCCCTGTACTAAAAGACAGATTAGCAGGAGAAAAAGAAACACAAGTTTGGTAATAAATATACCTCCTGTATACATGAAAGAGACTCATGAACTGTAACTCCCCAAAACCTTCAGCAGAAAAGACAGTGAGGGTAGGGAGCCAGTTATGAGAAGTTACAAGGAAATGACAGTAAACAAGGTTAAGGCTGTTGTCCAGGTTTAACAACACTGTCTTCTGCATCGATAAGAGTTTCTATAGGAAAGGTCATGCCTAGCTTGCAGCAAGGGAGAACCCTTACAGATGTAATTGTCTCAGAAAAACTTTCTACCTGGGTGTTCAAAACTTTCTCCCCGATCTGGTGGTTCATAAACTCAAGGCGGGTCATGTCGAAAATTCTTATGTGAGAGAGAGAAATTTGGAGGTGAGAAATTCTGTTCCCTTACAGCTCTACAAACCTACACAACATGTCACTGTACTGAATACTGAAAGTAACTATGACACCATGGGAAGTATTTATGTGATGCCTTGCCCTATGACATTGTGATACATATGACATCATTAGGCAACAGGAATTTTTCCCTTGCATTGTAATCTTATAGGACTATCATTATATGCATGGTCCGTTAACTGAAACATTGTTTCACAATGCATGACTATAAAGATATAGACTCTAGATGTTTTGAAGACCTGGAAGTTTAAAAGAAAACTATGAAGTTAATACATAAAATAGAAGAGTAATTTTCTGACTTCTTTTTTTGTTGTTTTTCTTAATCCTCACCCAAGGATATTTTTCCATTAACTTTTAGAGAGTGGAAGGGAGGGGGAGAGACAGAAAGAGAAACATTGATGTGAGAGAGACACATTGATTAAGGATCCAGCCTGCAACCAAAGTACATTCCCTTGACCAAGATTTTTCAGTCTGCAGGCCAGGGCTGATAACAATCCCCCCAAAACAAAAAACATACGTTAATTTTCTTTAATCATAATTAAAGATTTCTGTTCAATAAAGGGCATCATAAAAAAGTTATAGACAAACGACAGAATAGGAAAAGATGTACTTGTAATATTTAAAGGACCAGTATCTAGGAAATACAAGGAATTTCAGATCAACAAGAGCTGAAACCTCAAATTAAAAAGGGGAAAGGAATGGACAGGCAATTTTATACAAGGGAAAACCCAAAAAGATAAAATGCACATGAAGAAATGTTCAATCTCATTAGGCATAGTGAAATGTAATTTTAAATGAGTTTTTACTTTGTTATCTATTAGTCTGATGGGGCTATAAAGCGATAGAAGCTCTTGAACTGCCTGCAGGAGTGCAGACCATTGCAGCTTGTTGGAGCACAGTCTGGAATCTTTCCGTAAAATATGTACATAAATGTCCCAGGATCCAGAAATCACATTCCTGGATATAAATCTCAAAGAAAGCATCATAGAGGTCTAAAGGTATATTTATCATTGTATTGTCTATAGTGGTAGGAAAATGAAGGTAATGTGGGTATCCACAAATGGAGAGTAGACATAAAACGTTGTGAAGTAAGAAAATGTTTGTCTATGTAACAAAATTACAAAAACTCAGTCAATTTCTCATACAGCTAGTGATTCTTGCCACCTTGTCCATGAAATCCTAAGCAATTAACATCAGAAAGAGTCATAGCTTATCTTTCCTGATTCCTGGCAAATGTTACTGTGAATGCAGGCTGTAGCTCACATTAAATCCTAAAATCAACAGCATCACCATTACCAACGCAGCCTGCGGTGGAACTGTAACTCCTACCATTGTTGCAAATTATAAGTAACCAGCAAATTCTGCCCAGCGTTTGAGAAACTGACATAGCAAGTGAATCAAAACTTAAAACGCAATATTTGAATCAAAGACAGGGTTGTGCTGACTCCAAACACATCGCTTCAGAACGCTGCGTCCCACTGGTGAGAGGGAGTAGCAGGTACCCTCTTAGACCAAGTCCTAGCAGTGGTTCTCAACCTGTGGGTCGCGACCCCTTTGGCGGTCGAACGACCCTTTCACAGGGGTTGCCTAAGACCATCCTGCATATCAGATATTTACATTACGATTCATAACAGTAGCAACATTACAGTTATGAAGTGGCAACGAAAATAATTTTATGGTTGGGGGTCACCACAACATGAGGAACTGTATTTAAAGGGCCAGAAGGTTGAGAACCACTGAAAGGGTTGAGAGCGGACAGGTGGCCTCTCACAGATGAGACTCAACAGACGTCTAGATACCTTAAGCAAGGGCAAACTAAGGAGGAGTACCAACGGGTAAGGAGAGCATGGCACCCCCAAAACAAACACGTTACCGGAAAACACTGTCAATAGCCACCCACCCATCATCACGAAGCACCTCGCCCCGTTTAGATTGCCACTGAGAACAGAGCGGTCCCATCGCAAGACCAAAGCCAGTGTCACCAGAAGCAAATGTCACTTACCAGGCCAGGGAGCCCCCAAAACACCACCCACCCTCCCCTAGCTAGCCCCACGACCCGGCGAAGGCGCACCGTTGTGGGCCTGCACCTCGGGCGCAGCACAGCACAGAGCTCCCAGCAGCGGAGCTGACAGCTGGCGCCGCCACCCCCGACCCCGGGAGCCCACGATCTGCACGTTTGGGTGCAGCCCGCCGTGGAGATCCCCCATGGGGAGGCTCGAAAGCCGGCTCCCTACCTGTCACAGCCTCATCTCACGCCCTGATGTTGTCTGTCTGACCACCCCCAGACGCCTGGGCGAAGGAGCGCCAGGCCAGGGCGTCTCTAAGAAGCCTGTGGGTGGGGAAAGTTAAGGGACGGCAACCCCCAGCCCAGCCGCCGCCTCCCCGCCGGGGCTGCAGGGTGTCGCTACCGCCGCCGCCGCTGCGGTGAATCAGCTGACACCGGCCTCCACTGCTGTGACTTTTGCTGCAACTGTCGCAAAAGAAGACGAGGGGGAGGGAAATGCACACAGTCTGCAAACACGCCAGGAGGCGGAACGGAGGGGAAGGGGTGAGTGTGGGCAAGGAGTGCACGGCTGCCATTTTTGTTATGGGAAGTCTGGTCTAGGCTCCCTTCTCGCCTCCAATGCCCAAGGTGGAGGGAAGCGTGAAATGCCAAGTGTCGGTGTTTGCTCCTCGTGATCAGGATGTTGCAAGTTTATTCTTCTGCCCCCGCGCCTCGGCCCAAGAGCCTGGCAAGTGTTAGCTCCGGCACTTGGTTACTGTTTTCCTCTTACCCCCGAATTCAGCGGTCGCTCACACAGAGGGACAGGGGAAGAGCCCAGCTACTTGACTAGAGGAAGTCTGACCTTGCGCCACATTCCCGCAGAGGAGAGAGAAGGGATGCACACGCGGCTTCTCTTCATCCCCCCCATATGTCCCCATATACAAAATAGGCATCATAACCTCATGGGTGTCTGGAGATTAAACAAATGTTAATTACTGATTGTGTTGTCTACCTTCCTCCCAAATATTTGTTGAATGAATGGTTGATAGTCTTTTTAAAAAAATAATCTTTTTATTGATTTCAGAAAAAAAAGGGAGAAGGAAAGAGAAACATCAATGATGAGAGAGAATCATTGATTGGCTGCCTCCCGCATGCCCCCCCACTGGGGATCGAGCCCACAATCGGGGTATGTGCCCTGACAGGGAATCAAACAGTGACCTACTGGTCTGGAGGTCAATGCTCAACCACTGAGCCACGCTGGCCAGGCGATACAGTCTATATCAGACTGCCCTGGATAAGGTGAGATTATGAGAGGTCTTGAATGTCCTCGTAAGCTTTTTTTAGACTTTATTCCAAAGGCAATGAAAAGCCATTGAAGACTTCTGACCAATACATAGAGTGGTGCTTTTCCTATCAGTATTGTATTTGTTTATACTGCTGTATAACAAATTACCACAAATTCGGTATCTTAAAGCAGCATGCACTTATTGCCTCACAGTTTCTTGGGGAAAGGAGTTCAGGCACAGCTTAACTGAGTTCTCTGCTCATGATCAATAGGCTACCACTGAGATGTCAGCCAGACTGCATTCTCAGCTGGAGGCTGATGGGGAAGAATCTGATTCCAAACTCACTGAGGTTCATTCATTTCCTGTGGCTGTATGAGGAAGAGCTTGGACCTCAGGTCCCACAGGCTACCCACAGTGCTGTGCGACATGGGCCTTCCCAAAGGCTCTCTCTCAACATGGCAGCTCACTTCTTCAGAGCTAGCAAAGGGAATTTCTCTGCTGAGCACAGGAAAGCAGAAATCACATAGCTATCAATATAAATAATACAAATAGATAGAGATAAAACTATAGATAATAAACTCATCAAGGGAGTGACAGCCCATCAACTTTGCCATATTCTGTTGGTTAAAAGCAAGTCACAGGTTTCACCTGAACTCAAGGAGAGAGTGCCAGTCACAAATATTAATCTGGCAGAAACGCATCATGAAAATTAGGTGGGAAAGACAGAGAGGCAAGGTGATTAAGTTGTCATTGCTGTTGTTTTAGCCAAAAGATGTGTAGTTGTCACCAGAACAGAATCATAAAATGGAACCCATGGGATAAGGGAATTTCAATATGCTACATTTTAATGCTATGGGCATTAAAGAAACTTAAGTATCACTCTGTCTTTAGAATTTAGTAGCAATTACCCTATACAACACACCAATACTTCCTGGACTTCCTAAATTCCAAGTTAGTTCTCTAAAAGGCAAGAATTATTCCTCCATTTTACAAATTTCAAAAAAGGGAGATTATCACGCTGCCCAGTGGTCTACACGGAGATCACATTATCACCATCATTTTGGATTGTTTCATGTGTACAGTTATTTTTTTCCTCATCTGTAAATTTGTTGTTTGGTGCTCCCCCACAGTGCCTAATACTTCGCTAATTCTGTTCTTTCCTTAGTGGACCCATTCCCCTAAAAGTCATGTCATGATTGAGGGTTTCACAATAGCACTGAGAAACTCACACATTATTGCGCTGCAGAATGGCTTAATGATTAAAACTACTTAAGAGCTTCCCTTTGCACTCTTTCACATGACATGAACAACTACTGTTTTGAGACTTCTCTGTTTTTCCTATCTCATGACTTCCACTGAATTAAACCATTTCTTTCTAAGTAACAGAACGTCTTTTTAAAGAAGTATCTCTATTTACTCCATATTCTAGGGAGGAGTGAAGGTGATAAGATTGGGATGCTCAAGCTCCTCATAAGTGAGGGTTTAGGGGCCCCTCACCAAGCGACCAAGATCAGCAGGGGGAAGTTAGGATAGTAAAGAAGGTGACGAGTGTCACTTGTGGCCCTGTCCCCAGGGGCTGTAGTTTGTCCTACTAACCTCCCTCTTCTGTTTCCTATCAGGATGAGAGGATCCCCAAAGCCCTGGAAGAGTTACTCTTTGCACCTGTGTGAAGAAGAGGATCCGCGTGCTATAAATCGTGGACTGTGGAAGACACAAAGGTGCACTACCCAGATTCCCCTTCCAGAAAAAAACACTTCCCAGCTCTATGGAGAGTGGTTTGTGCACTGCTCCTGCTATTAGCTTCTTCAAGGTTGCCTCAGCTGTCCAGCTGGGGTTACCTATTCTTGGCATAACCCCTGGCAAATGCTTGAGTAATACAAAGTTAAGAGCACACTCTTCTTGGAAAGACCCCCAGTCAATGACTATCAAGAAGGCGTACCCTTCTTCTCACTATACCACCTTCTTCTCCCTTTTCCTCCTCTTCTCCATCTTCTCCTTTTCTTTCTCCTCTCCTCCTCCTTCTTCTAACCACTTAAATTTTTTCAAATAAAAAATATTTCAAAAAGAAATAAAGATTAAACAGTGGCTATGAGTACTTTACTTTCCTTTTCATGAAATAGTACTGTACTTTCTTTCAGATGTCCAAAGTGGAACAGCATCATTTATTCAACACCCAGTGCTGGATACTGTACTGAGCTGGGCATGCAGGTAATGCAGAGAGCTGGTTCTGTGGTCACGTTGCTCACAGTCTGGCGAGAAGACAGTTACATCTACCGTGAGCACAGTGTGAGAAGTGATGTGCGGTGGTACTTTCTGCCACTTGCAGTGGATCTGATCCTCCTCCTTTCATTTTATTTTAATATGCTGAGTTTTGGTGGAAAACATTATGTGTTTTTAAACTTTTTTTTTCCCATCACCATTTGGAAAACATTGTTTTTAACATTGTATACGTAGCCACTTCCTTGTAAAGAATTCACTAACATACATTTTCTTTTTCTGAATGTCTTCAGTGCCTGGTCCTCAGATGTATTTAAAGTCTGCAGATATTGGCACTCAAGAATGGATTGACTGCCCTAGCTTGTTAGGCTCAGTGGATAAGAGCGTTGGCCTGTGGACTGAAGGGTCCCAGGTTCAATTCAGGTCAAGGGCACATACCCAGGTTGCAGGCTTGATCTCCCAATAGGGGGCATGCAGGAGGCAGCTGATCAATGATTCTCTCTCATCATTGTTGTTTCTATCTCCCTCTCCTTTCCTCTCTGAAATCAATTTAAAAAATATTTAAAAAAGAATGGATTGACTGATATGTGTATGTGTCTGCTGGAGGACATGCCTGAGAGAGCGAGCTGTGAATATCGTGGAAGCCTCTCTTAAGAGTCTTATCATTTCTTCCCTATCTGTACATTCTAGCCAGACAATGTCTACTACAGTACCACAAGCAAGAGAGAACTCTCTTTACAAGCAACAATATAGTTATGTGTAGTTATGTGTAGTTTTTCCCTTCCAAAGAGTTAATTCCAACTCCCAATAGACTCTTTAAAAAATTAAAATATGGATTTTAATTTCAGAGGCTGAGGTGATGGAAATATTTGTCTAAATATCTAGTTTTCTTAATAGAGACTCTAGGCAGCTTAATGAATTCTGAACCTTAGATATATTATTCCAAAAGAATAAGCTATTTAATATTTCTGGGAAACTCCCAAAACTGACTCTTAGAATTGTCAGCAAGGTTCTTCAGTTTTTTCCAGTAGAAAAAAATATTCAGGACAGTGACAGATCACTATACTACTTTCTAGGAAACCCTCTACTCCAAGATACTGCCTACTGTCCAAAACTAAAGAATATATACTACAGTGGGACAGTGGTCCATCTGGTGACTTTAAATGGCATTATTTAAAGAAGCACTTGATACCTTAGGGAAAATCACACCCCTTTGACTGAAAAGATATTGCGCCATCTAGAGACAATTATGAGAAATGGTATTCAGTTTTCAAATCCAGCAGCATATTGCTAAAAAGGGTTGGGAAATTATGAAGCAGGATTTATTTTCTATTTAATATTTATATTACACATTTTCCCCTCAAAACTTTAAGTGTAAGGCAAAGATTATCATGTGAAATAAACTACCCAGTTGATAAGCAAAGTTAAATTGGTGTAATATAAAATATTCTAAGTTCTCTATTTCTTCAGAAATAAGGTAAAAACACTCTAGTAAGCAGCAGTTATTTGTATGTGTATATACCACACATACACATACACACAAGGGTGCAGCCAAAGGAAACATAACTGTAGGCTGGCTCAGCTCTGGCTGCAGTTTCTAGTCTGCCTTGAGGAAAGAGGATTATAGGTATAGACAAAATACCTATGAACACGCAGTCAGAGGGGTTTCCCTGCACTAAAAATAGATTCCCTTGTAGAGACGTGAAAGGAAAAGAAAGAGCCTTGAGGTCTTGGTTCCTTGAAGTGGAGAGAAGTAGAAACCCAGGAAGAAATGGCAGACTAGTGCATCAAGGCAGATGGTGCATAGGGAACCTTAAACAAAGGGCCCCATTCCCTAAAGTAGTCACATGAGGCAGAGAGGGCTCCACTTGAAGAGGGTGTGTAGACAGAGACACCCAGAGATTTGCACTCCAAAGCCCCAACCCTACCCCAAACCCAGAAATTTGATACAGTTTCTAAGG